GGGCTTCCATGGGCATCTGCTGGGATGAGAATACCCCCCAGGACTACGAGGAGTGCTCCCAATTGGGGTTATATGGAGACACCCATAGCCGTTGGGCGGACCACGCCAGCAGCATCATCGCCTACAGGAATGGACGTTACAACTGGACGGGGGAGCACAGTTGCTACGATGGCACCGTGAGTGTCAGCTTTGCCACATTCATGCAGCTAAGCCTGCTTGAGGTGCCAGAGCCCGACTGGAGCCTGGCCGAGAGCGCGCAGGTGGTGGAGCTCCAGGAACTCAAGTTCGAGCTGGACGATACGCTCAAGAGCGAGATTACACGTCTGCGAAAGGAGAAAGACGAGAGGGTTAGTAGGTAGAGGAGGCAAAAAAGGGACTCTATTTGTAAACATTGGCTTTTTATTAGGGCATAGATATCACAGCGACCTTTACGGTGTTCGATGAGTACGGCAAGGACTTTATGAAATCCCAAAGACTGCATCCAGACTCCTTTATTCAGGTGGTCATGCAGTGGACCTACCACCAGATGCACGAAGAGTGAGTAGAGTGGACGATCATTTGGATGCCCCAGTTGAAGATAATACGGGTTACCTTGCAGAATTGCGCCCACATACGAGACCGCTTTGATGCGACAGTATTACAATGGACGAACGGAGACGCTACGCTCCTGCACTGGCGCCGTGGCCGAGTTCCTCAAGGCTTCCGCTGATTCGCGCGTCAGCGATCTCGCCCTGGCCAAGAGCTTTCGCACAGCCGTCGACGATCACAAGCGGGCTATGGACGAAGCGCGCAAGGGCAATGGCATCGACAGGCACTTGTTTGGCCTCTGGTGTGCCGCCTACGAAAACAAATTGGAAATTCCCGCCTTCTACGACGATCCGCTGTATGCGAAGAGCGGCGGTGGTGGCAATTTTGTGCTCTCCTCCAGCACCCTCGGCTTCACGGCCAACGTGGGCTTTGTGGCACCCATGCTGATCGATGGCTATGGCGTGTTCTATTCAATTACCTCTGGAGCGTAAGTTCTTTATGTTATTATAAGCATAACTCCTGATAATGGTTTGTCTTTGATAGTGTCTTCATCAATACCACTGCCTATCGCGACAGCATCAAGACGAGCGCACGAAAGTTTAATGACACCTTCAAGGCCTCGTTCCGCAGGATAAGCGTTCTGCTGGAGCAGCTGGCCAAGGAGTCCAAGCTGTAAACCACCGGCTTAAGGGCTTAGTTTTAAGTGAACAAAAGAGAGTACCATACCTCTTGCAACATTTTACAATAGGTAGTCTTGACTTTATAACACACTTCCATTAGCAGTACATTCTTAGTCGTTCGCTTAAGGGAAATTTGTACAGCGAATCATGGAGAAAATCATTCCTTGAATGCGTGCCCTGGAAAACGTTCCTATTCCCCAAATGTATTGGACACTTTCCGTGCTTCGTGTTAACGTTTATTTCAAATTCAATGTTTGGATTAGTTTACGCAAATACATTTTCGCATGGTAATTTTCATTTTCATTTCGTTTCACTTGTTTAAAATGCGTCTAATTAAGCGAAGGCGCCCAGCCAACTCCACTGTACTTATTTCGATACAATAAGCAAGGGCGGGTACTCCTGTACTGTACTCCGCAGCTGATGATCCTAGATCCTACATACAAGTTCAATTGAAGCTTGGGCTTGGGGTCTAGTATGTTTCGATTTCTACAATTATATATGGGGATAAAGTGTGTGTAACTTTTTTAGTGTTCGTTCAATTACGATTACTTGCGTGTGTGTGTGTGTGTGTGTGCTTAGTGCTGCTAATTACAAATGATTCTCCACACTTTTCTTACGTTTGTTTCTACAAAAAATTAAATTCAAGTCACAGACTTAAAGCCAAAAGTGCAATAAAAAAATCAAAAAAATATCTATTGGGGGCAATAGGCAGCAGCCAAACGCTGATGAGCTGAGTTCCGTCTGAGGGGGTCTTCTATCCGAATTAGTGCTGCTGGCGGTAGTAGCCAATGTGCGGCGGCGGCAGCAGGGCGTAGGCGGGCAAAGGAACTGAGTGCCCAGGGGCGTGGCGCCCGCGCCTTTGCTGCTGCTGTTGCTGCAGCTGCTGATGTTGAAGATTGGCGTACACTCATTCCTGCCCAACAGCCGGCACAGGCTGGAGGTTCTGTTCGGCTGCCGCCAGTGCCGGAAGGATGGGATTGCTATTGGCCACATCCTCCTTGGCACCCGCAGCCGCAGCCTCTCCAGTGGCCGGCGGCTGGAATGCAGGCCGCTGCACAAACATGTTGTCAATGATGTGGTCAATGTTGTCTGTGTGGCCGCCCTCCTCCTTGGCATTGGTCGTCTGGTTGGCATTTGGCCCTGCTAATCCTCCGGGTCGCGCCTTATGCTTCTCGGATGGCGGTAGAATGGGAATCGCATTGGTGGGTCGACGCTGGGGCAAGGCAGCAGGTCGGCTGGTGGTCTGGACAGGCGGCACAAAGTATGTTGTGCCCCCGACCGTATTGTAGTTCTGATGGAAGTTCATGGACGGTGGCGCCTGGCCAGCCACCGCAGCTGGCGGCTGCGCCTGGGCCGGCGGCTGTGGCTGTGGCTGCGTCACCACGGACGTCTGGGCCTGGGCAAAGGCCACAGCTGCCGGTGTGGTGGGCAAGTAGGCGGCACTCGCCGGATTAACATAGGGGGAAGCTGGGGGTACAGTCACCGAAACTGGGACCTGCACAGGCACCGGCACCGGTACCGGATCCGTTCCAGTCACATAATAGGGTGCCGCCTGTGCCTGGGGATAGGCTGCCGCTGGCGGGGCATGTTGCTTTGGTGGCGCTGGCACGGCCGCTGCTGCCGGTCCCAGTTGCAGTGTCTGGAGTTGGGCTTGAATCTCTTGCTGCTGATAGGCAAACTGCATCAGGACATGGGGATCCTGTATCATAATCTGTGAGGGCTGCTGTTGTTGTTGCTGTTGCTGCTGCTGTTGAAGATGCAGCTGCTGCTGTAGTTGTTGTTGCTGCTGCTGCTCTGCCAAGTGCTGGGATGCCTCCTGCTGGGAGCGACGGAGACTGGAGTATCGTTTGGGTGCAGTCCTTGGCTCTGGGACTGCCGGCTGTGGCTGCTGCGTTAGCTGCAGCTGCTGCTGCTGTTGGTTCTGGTTGGCCAGAGAATGCATCTGAACGCTTCCTACATGACTGGGGTCGTTGCGCTGCTGCACCTGCTGCAGTCGCTGCGACAGATTAGTGGTCGAAAGCTGAGTCTGGGGCGCCGCCAGTGGAGGCGGCTGCACCTGCTGTGGGGACTGTCTCGGCTGCTGCTGCTGCGGCGGCTGTTGTTGGCTCTGCTGAAGAATTGGGCCATCCGTCGACTGCCTGCCCTGTCCGTTTGATCTGGGAGTAGATGGCTTCTGATGAGCACGCTCGTTGCGCTGATCCACATGCTCCTGCTCGCGGTCGCGCTCGCGCTCGCGCTCACGTTCTCCCCGGTCTCCCCGCTCATTACGCTCACGACGGTCGGGCGGGGGACCACGATTTGACTTTGGCTTAAACTCCATGGGATTCTGTCGACCCGGACCGCCATTCACGCGCCCATAGTTGCGGTTCTTTGGCTCACGCTCCCTATCCCGATCTCCACGTTCACGCTCGCGCTCTACTTCCTGAGCTCGTGGGGCGGGATTCGAGCCGCTCGCACCGCCTGCACTTCCACCTCCGCCTCCTTGTGGTTTGTCGGCACCGCGTTCTGAGCGGCGATTTTCCTTCTCCTCCCGGAAGGAGGAAGTGCGTGGGCCACGCGGCTTTCGCTCATTTAGTGCCGGGAAGTCCTGAGGTCGGGGTGGCTTGCGTTCTTTGTTGCTGGCCTTCAGATACGCCTGCTCGTCCTCCCAGTTGCGAGAGTACTTGCTGGGGCCACGCGTGTACCTTCTGCGACGTCGGGCACGTGGTGCACAATCCTCATTCCGTATGTCATAGCCATAGGACTGCATGAGCTCCGAGCGCGACTTGGGGGCCTGTTCGCTGGCCTCGAACCTATCATGGGACCAGCGGTCGCCACCAGAGGCCGGCTGCCACTGCTTCATGGTCTTGGAAGCCTGCGATATGGCTGGTGGCTGTCCACTGGGTGTGGTGCCCGAGGCAGAGACCCCGTTGACGTCACCGTTTGACTCTGGTGCTACCTGAGAGCTGTTCTCCGTCTCGGGGACCAGGCAGCCCTCGGTTTCGGCCGTGCGGTCATCGTGCTCATAGAAGGTGCCGCGTTTCGGTATGTACTGCGGATTGCTGCGATCTTCGTCGACTTTCTTCTGCGCCTCGCTGTCGGCCACAGATCTGTCCTGGCAATTGTCGTTGCCGCTGACCGTGCCGCTGTGCCTATCATCCTCGGTGGTCTCGCTGCCCACATCGTCCTCATCCGTCTCCGAATCCTCCTCGCTGCCGCTCTCATCGTCGTCGTCATCGTAGTCCTCGCCGCCCTCCAGATCGCTGGCAGTGTCGTACTCGGAGTCGTGGGGATGGGAGTTGCTCGACGGCTCTTGGTTGGGGGATGTCCCCAGTTCGGCTGTGCTGCTGCTACCACCCCCCGCTTCACTGGCATTTGGTGAGGAGACGGGTATATCGGTCGGCGGAGCCGCAGTCATTTTCTCTACTTCGGCCATCGCGAACAAACTCTTCGATTTTTTATACTTTTTCTGATTCCTTTCTCCTCCGTTCTAGTCAACACGGCTTGCACTCAGATACTCACAGCTCACGGGAGAGTCCCTGAATCTGTCTCAGTGCGATCCTTTGATTTTGTTTAACGATAAATTTCGGGGAAAAGTTTTCGCGAAAACAACGCAATCAGAAAATAGAAAGTGTCTAGGGTTACCTTTCTCCTTGGCTGCCTAGGGTTGGGAAAACTCTTAAGTAGGAATGGCAATCTTGATGAATCTGGATCCAGTCGATAGAGTCGATAGACAAATCAATATTGAGAGTCTGCCGCCACCAGCAATCAGCTGTCGCGACTTATCGAATCACTGCCATCTCAATTGGATTTGTGGGGGAGATTTTCCCGTGGACTGCCGTTTTGACGACCTGCGGCGCACCCAGAACACCCCGGAGGTGCTCTGCACGTGGCACAAGAGCAAATCCGACCATTAATCCGAGCACAGAGCAGACCATCGCTGAAACTGGCCTGGAAACGTCCCCACCGCTGCCGGTGTAATAAGAAATATTTTCGTTGCGGACATGGAGGCTTTGAGCACCCAGCTGAGAGATCTAATACTGAATACCCGAGTGCCTCTGATCATTGACCAGTTCCCGATCGACTGGGAATGCTTCAGGGGATCGCTGCACGACTGGTGCGAACGCTTTGACAAGGAAGCGGCTGGTCCGCCGGCATTCGAGCTCATGTCATTGACGGACTGCAGTACGCCGCAATGGGAGCGAAAGCGGATGAGGGTCAACGACATGAGCATGCAGCAGTTTCTGCGGGACTACGGCTACTTGGAGGATGACCAGACACATTGGGCGGCCTATCAGTACAAGCGAGCCCATGAAGTGCCAGCCAGCTGCTTGAAGGGCATCGACTTTTCTTGCTTTGGGTTTCCGGAACACCAAAACGATTTTACCTTCTGGCTGGGATCGGAACAGGCCAATACACCCTGCCACTACGACACCTTTGGCGTAAACATTGTGGTGCAGGTGTACGGCAGCAAATCGTGGCTGCTCTTTCCACCCGAGACGCCGCTGCAATCAACGCGGGTGCCCTACGAGGAGTCCAGCGTGTACTGTCTGGACAACTTCTATGCCCCTGCGCAGGATAAGCTGCCGCGCTTGCTGGAGTATAGCGATCAGGCCTACCAGTGCACACTGCAGCCAGGCGATGTTCTCATCGTGCCCCGTCACTGGTGGCACTATGTGGAGGCGACGGCGACATCGCTCAGTCTCAACTACTGGGTGCCGCTCAAGGACGACATGGACCTGGCCCTGGACGAGTTTCTGGTCAAGCACATAGTCGAGAGCTTTGTCAAGGGCGAAAGTGAACAGACGAAGCAGTATCTACTGAATCCCAATCAACTGGAGGACGTATCCTCGACGCCCAGCGAACTGTTTGCCCAGTTCCAGCAGGCCGTACAGAATGCCGAGAGCGAGGAGCACAAACGGAAGCTGTGGGAAACCGATTACTTGACTCAATCCAAATTTAGGGAGCTCCTTGCTAGAGTGCGTCTCACCGTTCGGCCCCTGGAGGTGATGCCCAAGGAGGAATACAAGCTCTTGCTGGAGTCCAACTCCAAGCGACTGCAAGCTGAGACGAGAACTGCTGCTGCGAGTTCGCCGATCAGCTCCACATTAGAACTGCTCATCAGCAGTATGTGTGCCCCGCGCACCATTGCGGGCATGAAGCGAGAGTTCTTCCGGAGACTGAGACAGGGCGAGGCGTAATAGCACTAAAAACTTTTATTGTGATACGTGATAATTTGTTGCATATATGAGATTAAAATCCAAGACGCCATCAACATGTATGATACAATTGCAAGCAAACGAACGAAAGCCGGAACAGAAACAAAACACAGAGCATTAAATGCCATGACCACCAATCGCCGCTTCTTGGCCTTGGTTAAACCACAGTGTGGGTATAAATACGGGTGGGATGCGGTTTACCATCCTGGTGGCTTCTGGTTGGGATAGCCGCCTTGCTGTTGGGGAGCATAACTGCCAGGATAGGTGCCATAGTGCCCAGGTGGTGGTCCTTGTGGATAGCCCCCCGGATACTGAAAATCTGCAAATGAAAAGCATTTGCATAAGTGGGGATGCAAATTCCATTCATTTTCAGTACTTACTGCCAGGATATGGGAGCGTGGCGTATGGATTGAAGCTCTGGGGCATCGGTGGAGGAACATACGCTGGATATGGCATTCCTTGCTGGGCGCCATATGGCACTGGCATGCCATGTACCTGGGAAGGATACGGCATATTGGCAGCAGCTGCCGCAGCCGGTACGCTGGGAGCAGAGCCAGCTGGATTGGATGGAATGTCTGTCGAATGGGTGCGAAAAAAGAAAATGTTTTATTATCAAACTGTGATAGGGAATGACTGTACCTACCGCTACCACTGCCCGAGGTGGAGGCATAGTGCGAGGGCAGAGAGGGCGTGGCCGGGCAAGCTTGTCGGCTCGACGCTGTGGTTAGATCCTTCATGAGCTCCTCCTTTTCCGTTTTGCGGGCAAACACAAAGTCGGAGATCTTGTTCTGGAATACGACCAGCAGCTGGGTGAGGTCGTTGTAGAATTTAGTTCCCTCCTGGAGATTGCCGGATAGCTCAATGTAGCTATCGTAGGCCGTGGCCAGTTCCTGGTAGAGGGTGTCGCGCGAGCTGCCACAGCTTCCCGTCTCCGAGACGAATGCTCCATGGGCGCTCTGAATGTCTGCCACCAGGGACTGCTGACGGTCGACGCTCTCCCTCACCTGCTGCTGCAAAGGATTCAGGACCTGGCCAATGCGCGACAACGACAGGGCGGGCTCGTCGATAGCCCCATCCTTCTGCAGAGCAAGCAAGAACTCGTTCTTCATGTCGAACGTGGCCGACTTGAGCTCCGACTCGATGGCATCGCGCTCGGCTTTGATGGTCTCCACATCCTCCATCAGCTGCTTGAGCCGCTGCACGCTGGAGCAGTTTGGATCCACGCTGCCGCTGGCCGAAGGCAGCGACTGCTGGATCTCCTCCGGGGACATAGAAAGCAGCTGGATGCCATTCTGATTGGATTCGAACTTCTGGCGCACAACCTTATCGGCCTCGATGGCATTGTTGATCACCTCGCGATACTTCTTCGCATTGGTACGGAACATCTCCGTAAGCTTATCGGAACTGATGCGCGTCCAGCGCTCTTTGAACTGTGCCCGGAGCTGATTATCCGAGTCGCGCTCCTCGTCGAGCAGCCGCTCCGTTTCGTCCAGAATCTCGCGATTACGATTGAGTAGATCAGGCAGCTCCTTCAGCATTGTCTTGACATTTTCGACACCTCCCTTCTGGCGCACCTCGACCGCCTTCTCCTTCAGGGATGGCGGCAGACCGCTGTTGCTGTCGGCTGTCTCCACAGCCGCCGGAAGGTTTAGGCTCGCCAGCACAGCATTCAGCGTCTGGGTGGACTCACGGAGCTTCATTATCTCCACATTGACAATCTCATTCTTGCGCATATCCGAAGCGGTCAGGGCACGATGCAATTCCACGGGCACGAGGTTGGTGAAGATGTCTCGGAAATTGGATGCCATGGGAGAGGCAATGCCCAGGGACTTTGCCAGCTGTGCTTTGCCCGGAGAGGCGAGCGTGCTCAGCTCTGGTATCATCTCATTGTAAATGAACTCGTTGTCCTTGGTGGACTCGGCCAGGTGGCGCTTGGCGCGACTGAAATACTCGTCCAGGTAGGTCTCGTTGCCGCCCCGCGACTGTGCCGCCTTGAACAGATCGATGGCGTTGCGCAGACGAGCGATCTCTTCCCCAATCTTCTTGGCCGCACGACAGACGAGACTCTGGTAAAGCTGTGTCAAAGCATGGAATCCAGCCTGCTTGCCGGCCACCGTGGGTATCCACTCCTTCTCCCACAGACTGCGCACCGACTCCTTTTGCATGGCGCGCAGAACATCCGCATAGAACTCCTCGCCCTGGCAGCATAGCTTCGCTATGATCAGATTGTTCATGTTATCTGCAAAGAAATTGCAGTTGTGATTCTGCTCGGATAATCCATGGGTTTTAGTTACCTTTGATGGCCTTAAGGATAAACACCTCCTGCGCCTGGGCCACCATCAGGGCCTGCATCACTACGAGCGTGTCCTGGCTGATATCGGGCGTCGGCTCCGATGGCACTGCGGCCGGCGTGGCTCCCTTCAAGTACTGAAATATCCCCGCACTCTGCTGCAGCAGTTTGATGGCCATCTTGAGGCCCTCATCGTTGTCCAGCTGCTGGCTGGCGGCAATGCTGCTCTGCAGGGCCGCAATATTGAAGAGCACACAGACCTTCTCGTACAGCAACGATGTGTGAGCTACAAAGAGAACCAAACCGAACAGAACCGCAAGAGAGTTAATTATGAAATTCCACAACTGAAGATGAGTCACTACTCACTGAGGCTGATTTTGCCACCGAAGATGGAGCCCTTGTCGAAGGCATCTTTCCACTTGAAGGGGATCTGCAATTCGCTGACCGATATCTTTGTCTCCAAAGCGCAGATCTGATCGTAATAGCTGGGCAAACAAAAGCGAAAGGCGAAGAACTATTAAGAGACGACGTCATCCGCTGAGCTTGTTTACGTCTGCCGCAATCACACAGACCCACACATATATACATAGATGGCCCCACAGTGTGTCCGAGTACTCTTTCTCCTATCATGTGCGTGACTCATGCGGAAACTCCAATAAAACCCCCAGTCACAGCCCCCGAAAGTACTTACGCATAGACAACCTCCAGAGAGGCCTCGTATTTCTCAAAGAATTTCCAAATCGCCGTATTGCGTTGTTTCGCAAACTCATTTACAGCCTCCAAATATTTCGCCTTCTCCTCCTCCGAGGCACCATTGTAGGTGCTTTGGATGAGATTGTTCAGCGGCTTCACAATGTCCACCTCCGATGGCTTCTTCAACGGCACACTCAAAAACTTCGACATTTCTAGTTTCACACGGATACGAGCCTAGAACAATTCAAATAAATTGTATTTATTGAAATTGTCAAGTCAAAGAATAAAAGATTTTTTTTATAGTTGTCGCGTTTTGTAAATAAATCGACCTTAGCCCATTTAAGCCCCCTCTATTTAATGAGGTGAACACCTTGAGGGAAACGGCGACAAATGGTACTGGTTGTAAATTCTTCGTGTAGATTACAAAAACTATGACCACGATATTTTACACCTGAACTGCGCTAAGTCTATTAAATTTTCATTATTTTCGGTGGAATATTAAAATACCCCCTTGGTCTGCAATGGGTTAATCAGTCTCCGTCAAGGATTGGAAACTATATTCCTTTTTTATATTCGATTTGATATTACTAGCTATATGGAACCTTTAGCCATGCCCACATAATTTTATCCGATTAATGAATCAACTTTCTACTTAACTGACTTATTTTAACCACTTGCTTTTATTGCATTTTGCGTAAAAAGAGGTTTTAGCGAAATTAGTCAAACATATATTAAGAAGCGAAATAGGTTAATCAAGACAAACGAAAAAGGAACTTCGTTCATATTGCTCAATTTTGATATTCCTTTGAATAATACTGACTAACTAAATCTCTCAGCAATGCCCACATAATTTTATCCCGTTGATGAAAAAATTTTCTACAAGATTGGATAGTTTTTAATCCTTGCTTTTATGGTATTTATTGTAAAAAAAGGTTTCAACGAAAAAGTTCAACAAAAAAAGAGTCGCCATATTGCGTGTAAGCCGTATAATAGGGGTTTGTATACCCTGTTTTGTTAATATTTTATTAAAGTATATATATTGATATAAAGATAAAACGTAACTAATAAAGACCGTTTCTCAAATTTACATTTTTTAGACATATTCATGTATATGATGAGTGTTTTGTATATATGTATATCTCGATCCTGATACCTATTCTTGGTCTCTGCAAGAAGACAATAAGCTTTAAAATATCGTTGAAATATTGAAAATAATATTAAATAATATTGAATAATATTAAAATATATTGAAAAAAAATTGTTTTTGCCTGGGATGACAAACATATTCACAATTCTATAACATCCATTTCCCCCAGGGTATTTGTGTATGGAATGAGACTCAGGTCCTTACCCGATTCAAGTTCGGTTATCGATACTATCGACTGGTTACGAGTGGAGCGCGCCAAATCTAACTTTTTTGAATGTGAGCGACAAGGATTTAAATGTTGCAAACCGGGCCATTACCGATTCAAAAAATACGACGATTCCCTCAATTTTGATCTTCTGTCGAATATCAGCTGGTATTTGAAGTCATGATGCGTGTACAGACCCTTGTATACCCTATTTCGCTAATATAATTTGAAGGTCCTGTTTCCGAACTGTTTTTAAAGCGTAATTCATAAAGAAATTTTCTCAAATTAATATGTTTTAGACATATTTATTCCCGTGCCAAATCTATTTGTAGAATCCGGGTGTATGGGACGGAAATTATTAAAAAAAAATTTAATCAACAATTCAAGCGGAACTAGAGAAGGTAATTTTTGAAAATAACATAAGAACCGAGTACAAATTGTTTGATTTGCACGGATTCCCAATTGGATAGGCAGTTGCGCGTCAGTTGATTTTGACCTTAAAGAAGTTGGAGAGACCATATAAATCCAATTTTTTCCAGGTACAAGTGAGCTGTATAAATGGGAACTAGACATTCGTATTCAGCGATTAGCTCAAACCATAATGAAGCTCTACCTAGGACTCCTTTTGGCCGTTGTCTTGCCGCTTCTTATATCTGCAAAGAGGGCGGATCCCCCACTCGGACCTTATGCCGAAAATTAAAAGAAAAGATTATAGAACTTT